CGCCGCGCTTTGCATACACCTCTCAATTGCTCCGCGAGTAATGCACGCTGGGCTTTCAGTTCGGTCATAAGCTCACGCAACTTCTTGCGTGGCTTCTAGGGGGGCTGCAACGGTGGGGGGTTAAGCAAGTCATAGTTCTTATTTTGGTCAACCGCTGTACGCAGCTTATGGTCCATCACAATATTGTTCTTCACCAGGAACGGAATGCCCAATAGGATGGGGGGCACACAATTCCGGAACGATGATAGCGCGAACAGTTTTCGATTCATATTTGTGGTCTCGGGATATTACACGTAGCTTAACACATTCGGTATACTGGGGTACATGACAGTTGTCTGACGATACTGCGAGAGAAAAGGAAACAGGCTTGTGCAAAGGGAAGCGTCGGAGGCCCGCGAGGTCTACAAGGTCCTCCTTGATCAGTACGTACCCTGATCCGTTGTCAATTAAGGCACGTACATGCAAGGGCAAGTTCGTTCGGGAGCCTTCGATCATACAGTTGAAATAGAAATGGGCTTGCGCGGGCTGCGGGCACCGAATGGGGCTGGGGTCTCGAATCTCGTCTGCAACAATGTCAGGGTCCGCAGACAAGGAAACAGCAGGACGTACTCCACGGGCTGAGAGGTCAGAGTCCGAGGAGGGGGTGTCGTCGCCTTCGTCATGGTAGTCGTTGATCAAAGCTGCCACCGGCGCTGAGCGGGCAGGGCGAGTCGATGTACGAGTCCCATTGCCCACACTCTTCGTCACATCTGCCAGTTTAGCGCGTTGCTCTGGGTTGAGGCCAGCCTTCGCCGCTTCCACAGTTTTCTTTGTCACCTTCTCCACATCGGCGGGTGGGAAATCGCAAACGTTGTCGGAAGCACGGTGGAACACGAACAATTTGCGGCACTTCCGACAGCCGTGGTTCTCGTCGATGAGCTTGCGCTCGTCTTCGCCGAGGAACTTTGCACGCGGAAGGCCCATACGTGGCACGTCGTTACGTTGGCGCTTGGCGTTACGATCATTGTCATCCTCTGTCGAAGTTGCGAGCACGCTTTGCGTTGTTGCGCGCGAAAGCACGTTGCTGTTCCGCCAAGGCCGCCGCAATTTCATTTTTGCGATCCAATTCGTCCCGACGGCGGCGGAAATCGATAGTTTCGACGCTGGTAGCCCAATCACGAAGCTCCACAATCGCGGACAGGCGAGCGGCATCATCGTCCATCAGGTTGCTGAGACCGATCAAGCAGTGGGCCATGATATGGGCCCGGAGGGCAGAGTCGTCGAGATAGGAAGCTGTGCCGTAGAGAAGTTCGTTCTGCTCCAAAACGCGGTTGAAGTAGGTGATGAAGGGCTCATTGGTCTTCTGTATGCAGTGGCGGAGGTCACGGAGCGCGCGCGACTCCCAGTCGGCGCCCAGCAGGTAGTCGCGGATTTCGGCCTTCAGGGCTTCGAGCGTGAGTTTGGACAGGCACTCCTTGTCATGGCGGACGAGCCGGACCCAGTTATGATCTTTGATGGCCTTGATAGCGCGCCCCACAAGAGACTTTGCGGTGAGCCCAGCCGCGTCGCCATGGTCTTCGATGGCTTCGAAGAATTCGCGTAACAGCGGGGCGTCAACGACACTGACCGTGAGAGTAGGGCAGCGTTTGGAAGATTCGTTGATGAGACTGGCTTTGGGAGCTGCAGCCATGTGGAGTTCGGAAGGGGGAAGGGTAACGCGAGTGATTGTAAAGCGTGAAGATGGGGGGAAGAAGGATGCCGCGGATAGGCGGTAACGGTCTGTCACGTTGGGGAAAACGCGTTGGGGTCAAAACTTTGGGGATTCCCGATTTGGAAATGATGATATTGGGGTTGTCCGGTCGGGACAGTAGATGCACGATGGCTCTGTGGGGTGCAGTGATGGCACGGTGGCCGAAATGCGTGGTCTCGCAGGAGGTAGTGCCTTTGTCGGGCGTTGATCTGGCGGCTGTTCACAGTGGAACCAGTTACCGCCAAAGTTAAGCGTCGCGGAGATTACGGTCGATCTCGCTTAATCTCGCCAAGCGTGCGGCTTGCCGGGCGAGAACGAAGAGGGAGATATTGGGTTGGGAGGAGATTTTGGGACGGAATTTGGAGGTATGAAGGGAGGGAAGAGTGTCGTTTGGTTGTATCAAGGGTTGATATTGCAAAAAAAGTGGAAACTGGGCGTACCTCAGCCCAGAAACACTAGAAGACAACTCAGCCAAGGGCCAGATGCAATAAGACCCTTGTATGAGGGGGATTCCACAGACTACGCGTACAAGTGATGTAGCGTAAGAGAGAGAAAAAGATGATCACATGACTACCTGTGAACTGGCATAAGGCCAGGTTTACACTACCTTACTTCCTTGCCAAATATGGTAATAGTATAAGGCTGGCTTATATCATGGACTTATAGATCACATGTTCTCCAGAGTCTTTACCTTGTACCATTGCTATCGTCTTCGAATACAGCACGCTCTTGCTGTATTTCGGCCGTCTCCTCAGTGTTTCTTGGCTGGGCCGCCAGGTTTCCAAATAGGTGGGGTGGGATTCTCCTTTTTTATCCACTATCATCGAGCTCCTTATATATACTACTCAGAAATTAATTACAGCATGTTATACACAAACCCGACAATGAGGGATCTTATTACTTATAATGTTGATTAAAATTAATATTGTTGTATGCTTGCTTTGCCCTTTCAAATGCTCTGTGAATGCAACTTAAGGCAATGTAACTTAGATTAGTAGAAGGTTATTTTCGGAAATTTCGGAAAGTTTTGACAAATGTCATAATGATAGAAAATTTAGCAAAACTTTGGAATATTAAGCTGATTTAGAGGGAAGTTTGGGTGAGTGATTTTCATTGATGTAGGGAGAAAACTGACAATTTAAAATGGCCCAGCAGAGCATACACTAACGGCTAAGCGAGAGGGTCTGCCAACAATTGGCAGAGCATTAACTACAATCTTAAACTAGTAATTAGGATTCAGGCTATTGATTTGCCTTCAGCACATCTAAAAATTCAATCTATATGGAACTATAGTTTTGTAGATACCACAAAGAAAGGCAATGTAATACTATAAAGATGTTAACACATATATTTATGTAAGCACCACATATTACTCTTTTTCACCTCAATGGCAGCTAGCAATCCTTACTACTTTTCCTCAGGCTACTATGGCCAATCCTACCTTTCTATCTGGGTTGGTGAGGCCTTCTCAGCAAGAAAGTTGAAGATGTTGCTGGAAAAGTTGTCTGCTCCTTATAAGTTGTCAACAGTCAGGAAAGTTGCACTTGCAGAAGTTGAACTGCATGTCTCTAGGAAAGTTGTCATCAAGTATAACCATGTCACCAGTCAAGGATGTCACTCAGAAAAGTTGTGTTTATTGACTTGTACATGTACACAGGGTGAGAAGTTGTATCTGAGTTGCAAAGTTGTATCTAGAAACTCTAACGTCCAAATGCAAAGCCTGAAGGGGAGCTTCTCAATTGCCGTCAGCAAACTTGAATTGCATATCACACTCATAGGTGTCGTGCGAAATGGGCCCAACTGTGTGGTTTCATGATTGTGGTCCGTGGATAGTTCATCCGATAGAGTCCTGCTGTGCCATGGGAAAGTCCCTAGGCATTCACCTCTACTACCTGGAGATCCGGGCACGGCCCTCCTGCGCCTTGCGTTTAAGCATTGCCGTAAAGTTATCTATCCCCCTATACCTTCTTCGGGGCAGCGCCGCAACGCATTCTGCGGCCACCGTCGGCGGGCAGCCCTCCGCGCCGGCCGAGCCCGCGTCCATCAGCAGCCCATCTTTCTATACGAAGATAAGCGTCAAAACCTCCGGATTAGTATGGGGACGCACGTCGTAGTAGCAGAACGAGTCATACGTGCAGATGGTGCTCCCCTCCGCGCCGGGCTCGATGCGCATCTCGTTGATCGGCGCGCCGAACGCGTCGCGCGCTGGGCACGCGTACGAGCAGCTGCCGTCAGGCCCGTGCTCCCCGGGAGGCGGGCCGGGGCGCGCCGCCGGGTAGTCCCGGGCGCAGGAGGCGGTGGAGTCTTCTGCGATGAGCGCACCGCCGGCCTGGGAAAGAAATAAGTGGGCAGTTCAAGCGCAGGGAGGGACGTACGAGCTCGTACACGCACTGCGGCGTGCCGTCGGGGTGCGTGCAGTACAGCGTGCCAGCGGTTCTGTCGTCTGGGACGATGTTCGCCCAGAGGTGGAGCTCGACCTGGGCTGGGCAGTGGAAGCGCGGGGTGTATGCCGGGACTGGGTCGGCCGGGCCGGGAGAGGCGCGCGGGGCGAACGCGCGGGCAGCAGCGCCGCGCTCGGAGCAAGACAGAGCGAGGAGGACGAGGGAGACACGCATCGCGGCAAGGGCTCGGGCGACAGGCACCAGCGTTATTAGTAGTTTGGAGGCGTTGATCGCCAAGATTAGGCCCCGCTTTGACGGACCTCGAGGAGGAGGAGTCGTGTCTCCCTTGAAGGAGAATTGAGATGGTGGGAGTGACTCCAGGCGAATCAGGAGAGATGTGGATCAGCCCGAGGGGCCGGAATATACTACGTCAGCTGTAAACAACCGTCCGTGTCAATAGACCTTACCTTAAGTGATTCAGACGCACCTCTTGAAGCCTCTGGCCCGACGTGCAGTGCTCCCACAGCGTTTCGACGCTCTGCATCATCGCAGGGTTATTCCCAGACCACAGGACCACGGGTCGAAGGGGCACCGGCATATCGTCATGTCGTCATGTCGTCATCAACGGCCTCGACGCCATGGAAATGAGCGGCACAAAGGGCTGAAGTGGCCACGTCTTTGGGAGTATCATCGGGGTGCGGACAAGGCCGGGGAAGGCATGCGTGAACTGCACGGTGGGATTCTGTGCGGCAAACCGACCAGATCAGTATGCGGGCTCCCACGAATACTACTGATAACAACTCACCGGCATCGCCAAGTCGGTATACGTCGCCGCCACCGTGGCGGCTTTCACCGCACCATAACACTGCTTCAGCCCGAGATCAACCCAGTCAATGCTGCTGCCCGTCCCCGCACCAAGCACCGAGTAGACATGCGCCGGCTCGCCGGCCCGCAGCAGCATTGTTATCGATGCCTTCGGCCGTGGGTTCGCGGCTGCCGAACACGGGGAAGAAGCCCGGGGAGAGGACAAGGAAGTTCAGGCGGGGGAGGTCCGTGTGTTGCCGCACAAGCAGCGTAGCGCACGCATCGTGAACGTTGCCCATGAGCGACACGTCGCAGGGGAGGAACTCGTGATGGTGGTTGGCGACTTTGGGGAACGAATCGATCGCAGCGTCAGCGTTACGCCCTGCGAGGAGGATATGGGCGTTGCCCTGAGTGTGGTGGGCGAGCAGCTGGGCCTGGGTTTGAGGCGAGCGTGCTTGGATGCAAATGCAGCGTTGAGTTTGAGAGCTTGTGCGAGAGTGGGCATGACGGCTGAAGGCAAAAAAAAATGACGTGACGTGGGACCTCGTCATTTCGGATCAATACGTGATCACGTATCCTGCATTACTCGTATTCGCCGGGCTCTCACGGCGTGACACACCCACGCTTGACCGTCATGTCCACCGCCACGTTTTTCACCGACGACGTGCCCGACGAGCTGTGGCTCGAAATCGCATCCCATCTTCCGTGCGCACACTTCCAAACACTTCACCAGCTAGACAAGCGGTTGAGCCGGCTTACCCGCCCCTTGCTCTTCGCCGAGCTCACCTTTTCGCGGACGTTTTGCGCGTCGCCGACCCCGCCGATCCTGCCCGCGCGCCCGGCGTTCGAGAGCGGGCAGAAGCGGCTGGGCTTCTGGCTGTCGGAAGATGTGGCCCAGCTAGTGCGATCGTGCCACCTGACCATCAGGGCTAGGGCTCCAACTATTTAGTTTTCATTTACACCTCCAGGTAAGCTAAATGGAAATGGTAAGAAAATGTTTAGTAAAGATTTATTACCATTTAAAAACGGTTAAAAATGGTAATATAATAATATAAAATGATCAACAATTTCATGGCACATACTTGAGTTTAGAAGGTTGATTTAACTGAAAGATGTTATTTTATCACTTGCAACACTGTTTTAGATGAGCAGGTAGGTCAAGATTCACTGCCTTTGACTTATTTGATGTCAGATCATGTGATGGATTCCTTCCAGAGGAAGCCTACAAATGCAACCACTATCCATATTCATGTGGAATATATGTCCTACACTAGTATGCATTTGGTAGCCAGACATATTCCTAGTAGTAACATAGTCATAAGCTTTTCTAATATTGTTATTAGGGAATAACCATTTAAACTATTTGTTTTCATTTGTTTACCATTTACATGCCATGGTAAACTAAATGAAAATAAAAACGGTTATAACCGTGTACAAACGTTTGTACACGGAAATGGTTGGAGCCCTAAGATTCAGGGCGCTGAGCGAGCAAGAGCTTGCCACGCAGATACCGATCGGTGTGGACGTTGTCCTCCCCACGGCAGACGAACTCGACTTCCTATCTCGCCGCCTAGTCGAAAGCCTTTCCCACTTCACCGGACTGCGGCGCCTGGAAGTTGACGACGAAACTCTGTCGATGGCCGCAATTATTGGCATACATGGGTTGCCACTGCTTGAGCGGCTGGACCTTACGGGCTGCCAGGTTGAAGACGACACAATTGATCTATCCCTGGACGTGACACGCGCGCCGCTTTTCGTCGTGCAGCTGTCCGCGTTCCAGTCCTTTGCCCCTGAGAAGGAGCGGTTCTGGAGCGCGTTCTTCTCAACGCTGACAGCCTCCGTGCTGTATGTCTTAACATCGACCTTGCTTTTTGGCTCCAAGATCCGCAGGCGGCGCCAATATTCCGATGCACGACTAAACTCACATTGTTCTACCTCGCGACCGCCCCCGCTGTATCGCTGCCCCACGTTCTCACAAAATCATTCCCCGCCCTGCAAGACCTTGGCCTCTTCTCTGCATCCCCCTTGCCCCGGCCTGAAAACGAACCCGACCAGTGGACACGGAATCCCCATGATTCCTTGTGTCCCATTCTACGCACCGCGCTCCTTCCCATTGCTGGCCAACTCGTGCGCCTCCGCGGGCACTACAGCATCCTGCATGACTTTTCTACGGAACCGTGGAGGGTGACATCAGTAAAAGTGCACAAAAGTCTTTCAGATCTTTAGTCTTTGGGGAGGGTCTTTGATCTTTATGGCAGGGTCTTTCTGATCTTAGGTCTTTGGTAGATGATCTTTGAGCTTTCCTGGTCAATCTTTGGTCTTTCCAGCTGGTCTTGGATCTTATTTATAAATTGTCTTAGTAATTTGGAAAAACAGGGTGATAAATTAAATATGAAAAGGAACTTGAGTATAGAAAATAAGCTAGTATGCAATTTCATGTGAGTGATGATCTGCATACTTATTTACATAATAAGCATTGAAACTGTCAAGTGACAGAGAAAAATGAAAATCAGTAGGTAGAGGATCTTGACCAAATATTGGAATGAGATGTGCTGCACGCACAATGGTGTCAAGATGGATGATGTCCATGATGCGGTCCCCAGCATCATCAAGGTCAGGTTGAACCATCCACATACCCACATCTGGACAAGGCATATCATCCGTTGGTGAGAACCAAGTGACTAGAGCGCAGGGGTATTCGACATGGCGGTGGGTGAAGGACATGAAAAGTAGCACCCGGGCAGCAAGCAGACCACGGAAGCCCTCCTCATCGCTACCAGAGGCATAAACACAGTCAAATCGGGGTTCGGCACCACGCCATGACCGCACCCGCCCGGATACGTTCCCGGAGAAGGCCTGCCGAGTTACAGACATCACTGGGTGCATGGAATGCGGCAATTGCTGAGGGAAAGACTTTGATGCGAGCCGGGACGTCTGGATATGAAAGGGGATCAACAAGATCAAGGTCGTCATCCGGAAATGTCTGGCCATGCAGAAAACGACGGATAAGGGATGGGAGCGCGGGAAAGCCAAGGAATTCGGAAAGGTGAAACGGGTCCTTGGGATATGTTCGGACTGCCCAGATGTCAGTTGAGTGTATATTACCAAAATGGTACGCACAATGACGCTTAGCCAATACAACAGTCGCCTCGACAGTATTTTCCATCTCCGGATTATCGTCATCATCTTCTGCTAGAAGATCAGGGCGAGTGGGGTTAAGGGTAGGAAGAACTGGATCGGGATCGGTCGGTCGGAGAAGTCCACGTTCCTCGAAATTGACTCGGGTTGCGGCAAGAGCGTCAAGGCGATTATTAATGGTGAGGATTTGCTCGATTGCTTGAACTTGCTCGACCGGCGCCAGGGCTCCTTGACTGCCTTGATATGTTTCGACTCCGTGGTTGAAGAGCACAGTCCATTTGGGGCCGCAAACTCGGTGATCAAATAGGGATAGTGACTAAGCGAGTGCTGGCGTGGAAGTGAGAATCCATTGGGACAAACACCACTTTCCTCGAAAATAGTGCGCTCCTGATGATACCGGGCCAGGGCTGCCTCGATTTCGGCGGCGTTTTTGTGGTAATAGTGTTGCGACGGACAAGATAGCAAAAGTCAAGGAACGCGCTCAGCGCTCGAAGCATCTGCGCAGGGACATACCCCTCGACAGCAGGCAGGTAGACCTAATCTCATTCAGTAACTAAGCTGGATCAATACTGCAAATTACCTTCATTAGAGCCTTTGAGTCATCTCCAGTCCACTGCTTGAATCCCCGTCCCTCGGGAAAACGACGAAGTCCAGGGAATGGTGGCACTGCTGCGATTCTATAATTTTATTTACTTAATTTCAAAAATAAATTCTGCAAAAAGAACACAGACCGCCGGTCAATATCAGCCATAATTTTACTTGCATATGCTTTGCCATGTTGAGCATCCAGATATTCGCCGACCCATGTCACGAGATGGTCCTTAAATGTCCCCTTGATGACTTGGTGAAGAAGGTCCGGTGAGAGCAGTTCATAGATGTCTGCACGTGGAAAGTCCCACGTATATGGCTAATCATAAGCGAGTAAATGAATGGGAAGGGAGAGGGCATACCAGCACATCCGGAATGATTCCGTAGTCATTCCAAAGTGTTTTGTGGTCAAAAGCGTCGAAAAGCGCTTCCGTATGTGCCTGTGTTCGTCTTCCACCAATACCGTCAAGATTCTTATTTGACGCGGTACATCTGCAAATATCTTGGTATCTAGATTGGCTGTAAACTGCGAGACACACCGAGCACACCACCCCTGGACAACACACGCCAGCAAAACTTGCTCAGGATAGTCTGCAATATACGGACCAAGACAGTAAATAACCCATCGATAGTGACCATCACCGAAGAGCACGAGTTCGGGCGATATCATAGCTGGCTTTAGCGAGCTGAATATATGGTTCAGCGACGCATGAAACAACTGCCGTCCGGAACGTCCGAAACTCTTTGCTCTGGTCATGCTCGCGGTCGGCTGCCAGACGATGAGAACTGAGAAGACGAGTTATGAAGTCAGTCTTACTTTTCGGAATAGCCAAGAATCCCAGAAGCGACATCGCATTCCGATGGGCTCGTCTCACTGTGTTCGGGGTCAGGCCATTACCCTCATAGAGCGGATAGAAGTCGTTCTGGCCCGTTGCGACCGAGGTCGTTGTCTTGTCACTCCCCCCAATGACGGGTACGATCACAGCGCCATGGTTTTGAGGATCTTTGGCCAATTCGTCCTAAACGCAAAGAATCAGAAGAGCAAGATAGGAAGATAAGGACCAACGAACCGCCTGCCGCCATGCCCACTGCCCCGACATAAAGTCTTGATATACCCGCCCTCCATCCGCATCGTAGACCTGTTTCGGCGCGTAGTCTAACTCGTTTTTGAAGTCGGGATTCCCCAGTTGACGATGCATAATCTTGCGGGCATCATGGTGGTAAACTCGATATGACTTTCGCTTCCATGATGGCGCGCCGGGTTCGTTTGCATCAGGTCCATCGTAAGAGACGTCGAAGGCGAGCCACGGAATGTGGCCGGTCTCTGTCGCGTCGATTGTGTCGTACAAATCATCGTGGTCACGGAAATGCGAGAATCCCCCATCCTCGCGAGAAATCTCCATGAGCTCGTCAATCTCGCCTGCGGACATTTGGACCTTGCGATAGACGAAGTCCGCCATTCGAAATGCGCCGACTGTCTCATACGGTGATGTGTTATTCCTCGGAGGGAACTGTTTGTGCGGCTTGGTGGTGGGATCAACGAAGTTCCCCTCCTTATCGCATGGACGTCCTGCAGACATCGAGTCAACGACGGCAGGGAAATGAAGGGGGGAATATGATTCACATACCATTGAGATGAGGATGATAATCGACGCGTACACCAGGCTTGTGACTCGCATCGGCATTCGCGTTGAGCTGGGCGTCGTCTAGCGATTCGAATGGCACTCCTCCTTCTGGTAGCTCGGAGCCAAAGCGTAGAGGCGTAGGCGGAGAAGGCGATCGAGGCTTGCGGACACCCAGATGGATTGCGTTAACATGGTTGGTTCGCCCAGATGATTTTTTGAAGAGCTGCTTGCAGCCTTGCTGCCAGTAAGGGCACCGAAGCATCGGAGGAGATGACGGTGCTGAGTGAGCGAAGAGACAATTTCGTCCAAGTCAATCCGGGGATAGTCGCCCCGAATGCCCGGTCTCCGTAACTTCACGGATGAGCTGTGCACTCGCCAAGCTTGAGCCACGGCCTCCAATCACCGCAAGCAGAATGCGTCATTCGGAGGTCGATGTCTAGCCAGCTGCCGCCGCCGCGCCGTCAACAACGTTAAGCGTTCATAGTAGCGCTCACTGTGAAGACACAGGACACGGCACAATGAACGCTTCATGGCTGAACGAGCGAGCAAACGGGTGAGCCTGCGCACGACTGCGGATGATCGCCAGCACCATGCTGATGGGCCCCTGCAGACTTGTTAGAATGCTCATCCCTTCGCCCTTTTGCCGCCACTTTCTTCCTCTCCTCCATGCTGAACGTCCCACCGCCTGGACGGCGCTATGGCACGCGCACAACCAACCAGGAAACCCGCCCAGCTATCAAGGCCGGGCTCGTTCGCGAAAATCCGACCCCTCGTCGTACAAGGGAGGAGATCGATGCGGCGGAGGCCGCCGCCGACGCGCAGCAAGAGGCAAAGGAGCGAGAGCAACAGGCCAACGTCGACCGGGTTGCAGCCTTGGAGGACAGCATCCGGCTAGAAGACACAGTAAGCAGCATGATATATGGAACCAGACCACTTACCATATGAAGGCCCGCCGTACTGCTGCGAGAAACCCTGCCGGTCCACGAAAACCCAAGACGACCACTTCTTCTGTCGAATCTATTCCCCCGTCTCCTGCGATTGAAACGACGGAGTTTCTGGTTGAGAATCAAGGTGCGAATGCTGTTTTTACGGAGCACTGCCTGACTTCAGCGTAGATGTCGATATGCTGTCAGACGGACTACCCAGCGACGAAGAGGATGTCTACACAGAGGAGAGTCAGCCGGAATCCGAGGAAGAGCTGCCTCGCGACTTACCTGCGCGCAAACCCAAGAAAAAACTCTCCAAGGCCCGCCGCACGGACGTCAACACAGCGCGTCGCGTTTCGGACGCAAGCGGCACACCCATCGTTGCTGGCAGCGCAAAGCGCAAAGCTAGTACTGCAGAGTGAGTCGCATTACCTCTGTCGTCGCCCAATTACGCACCTGAATACCATACAGCGAGCAACCCCGCAAGAAGACCAAAGCAAAGCTCAGTGGGCTTGCTACTGCACCGAAAAAGGTCCCCGCGCTTGCTGTCCCCGAGCCGGGTAGTCGTCCGGGCGGCCCCGCGCTAGACGACGACGAAAATGAGGTCGTCGAGCAGCCTGCTGGCGGCGTTGTAAAGAGAGGCGTGCCGCGTGTCATTGTACGTGATCATCGCCGTCATTGTCCACTCATGTACGCTATGAGTAGGCCGCGAAATAACTCAGAAAGCTCGTCGCGGGGGAACGAAGAAGTGGGTTAATGCTGACACCCATGCTGATGAGCGCGCAATCAAGAACGAGCTCGTGCCGCTCATCAAGGAGCGATTGGGGGAGCTTCATCCCTGGGATAACCTGTCCCTCTCAGACGTGCAGCATGCTCTTGATGCCGTCTTTGGTCGCGGGGTTCATAAGGCTGTCCAAGGCGAGGTTTGGTATGGCTTGGTATGTGTTTCTTCAGTTATTTTCGGCCAAATGCTGACATTGGAGTCGAGATGGGATATAGGGCGAGCGACTGGCGCCGTGGCTTTATGGACCAAGCCAAGAAGGCTGTTTTGAGCATCATCGACTATCTCGTTGGCATAAATACGAGCATCAAGGAATCTAACGCGGAAATTCGCGCTGCAAGGGCTGCAAGAGATTTGCGTCAAGCAAATGGTATGGTACCTATTCTTGCATGCAGTAACTCACTTCGATCGCAGGCGAACCCCCATTTGAGGGTGACGAGGACGAGGGCAACTTCATCGAAGACCCCAATTAGAATTCGACTTGTCGACCAAGGAGGGTATGGCAGGCTTTGTCAAGCTATGGCTCTCAGATGCGGACACGAAGCAGCGCACAAAACGATTTCACTGGAACAAGTATCAAGAAACCGAGGATGGCATTCGGAAATCGGTGAGTTTATCCTTTCTATTAACTTTCTCTCATGGCATTCCAGGGCTTCCTCCGCTCCAGCCTCATTATGTCGACATCCTCTTACCATCTTACCACCCTAGACGCCATTCCGAGCCAATATGCGCGGTCAACAAAACGTCCTTATGGGGCCATGCTCCTTTCGGTACAAGCTGTAAGTCCCGCTTTCTTAGGAGCCAAAACTGATGATACCGACAGGTCGAGTGTGTCCTCCGGGCCTGGTCTACCGGCGAGTTTGTTACCCCCGACAAGCCAGAAGCCTTCTCATACGACAACTGGGGTGATATCCCGAACACCGAGCATGCCAACCGAGCTTCAAAATTCCTTCCTACGATCCGGGACTGGTCTGACGAGGCGTGGGCAACCTTGATCAAGGATGCAGCTGAATGGAAGGAGGAGCCTCGGAGGCGGCGTGGTTGTGCTAGCTCGGCTTCGAGTGCAGCTGAGTCAGAAGGCGAGCATATCTCTATTCCTGAGTTCATTGTCAGCGAGGATGAGGATGAGTAGTAAAATATACGCATTTGGAAATATATTACTATTTTGGGAAGTCTTTATAATTATATAAGAAAAGCTTTTTGGGTCTTAAACTTGGTCTTTGAGTATCTTAACACTGTCTTTGGGAAAGATGAGTAGGTCTTGTAGAAGACACTTGGTCTTTTTCAAGACCAGGACGCTGCTGGAATAAGACCTATGGTCTTTTGGGTCTTTCAAATCTTTTAGATCTTTCTGGTCTTGGGGCAAGACCAGAAAGATCTAAAAGACTTTTGAGCACTTTTACTGATGGAGCCACCTCGGCTTGTCGCCAAACCAATTTCGCGCGCGCTTTCCGACCTCATCGAGGACCTCGACCCCTGCGCGACGCTCACGCATCTCTCGCTGAGCATATTCGATGTCGACACGCGGAGTCTGAATGCCGTCCTGCAGCTGTACCCGCGGCTCGAGGCGCTTTACCTGCATGGCCTGAATCCTCCAATGGTACATAAATCCTCGTCCAGACATGCACTGATGATGCTGACCAACTTGCTAGCAAACGTTGATTTGGACAGCACTGTCCTCGGACCTTACTCTGCCGCCGACACTGCGCTCACTGCTCGTCAATAGGAAGCACTGGCGGGCCTACGGTGATGGGATGGCAAAATGAGCATACTGTGAAATTTTTGATTTTAATACTTTCATGGTATTCCTGGTTAATACACAGGACACCCAAGATAAACTATGTTCACATCTCAGAGGGCTGAAGTTATGTCCAAAACTGTCAGTCAATCCAAATAATAATGGATTTAACACCAAGGACATGAAGGAATAATTAAATCTTGAATGCACCAATGTCCAGGCGTCCAGATGTTTTGTTACTAGGAGAATAAGAATAGAACTGTGGTTTACCATAGTGATAACCTGTGGCATAGCAATGCTATGTGTTTTGCTAGGCAACAGTGGAGCAGTTGTGCTAAACATAGCCTTCACAGCCTTGGAACAGCCTTGGAACACAGGTTTCATAGCCTTGCATAGCTTGCATAGCTTTCACAGCCTTGTATAGCACAGTTGTCTGGATACAAGCAGTGCTTTCCTGTGTTGTTGCTAGGATATTATTTATAATTACGTTGTTACTGTACAGCCTTTTGGACTGGAAATTAGTATATATAGAGGCTTGTAGCCAGAGGAAAGGCAACCAACGAAGTGCAAACCAATTCGATCGGCTATTGGGACAGAAATCTGTTTGTCAGGACTGGCTAGACTTGGAGGTGTACAAACCAACCTTTCTTCTGAGCAATTTAGAATTGTTTAGTTGTTTGATTTTTTTATCTATTGGATTTATTGAATCTCTTGATCTGATCTTTTGATCTGGTTTGTTTGACTTGAGTATATTTAAGTTTGAAAGTGCAACAGCGTTTCCTGCGTTGAATCACCCCGAACTTGCGCGCGCTATTAAATCTAGGATTTTGAGTTGTGAGGAGTTTAGAGTAGAGTTTTAGTGTTAAAGCTAAAGTTCTGTTTTAAGTTTTTCATAGTTTGAGTCATAGTCAGCGTCTTCAACGGTGACCTGCCCGGAGACGAAACACATGCCGTCGCCCCGGCGAACGACGTGGGCGCGCTTGCGCTCCTCCAGGCATTTGTTGAGCGCTACCCGCAGCTCACGCTGCTCTTGATCCGCGGACGGGACTTCTTCATCATGCGCAGCTGCGCGGAGCAGGGGGCGGACGAGCGCGTCGTGGCCGTGGGCGACGATGTTGATGCGGTTAGCGACAGGTACATCGACTTGTGGAATCGGCGGGCAGAGTTCGTCTAGAGTAGAAAGCAATATGCTCCATATGAATACTGAGTATCCCTTCCATGAGCAAGCAGCCTAGCAGTAGTAATAGTAGTAGTAGTGCTAGCCACATATGATTATACTATTCTGACGACAATCACCCTGAGGATTCAGAAGAAAACTGGAGGATTTTTAAGAATTTTAATGAGGGTAATAATTGGCCAAAAAAGGGACATCTTTATTTGTTGGGTAAAAAGATTCAAAAAGACCCAATCAATAGAATATCAATCTTGTCAGAAAAGAAACAGTCAATATTATCATACAAAAAGGCTCCTTGTGACCGAGAAAGTTCTATTTTTCCACCCTACAGGCAAGCTTTTTTTGCCACATTCTGGGAAGCTTTTTTTCCCCTATAGATTTATGTGCTATCCACTTGATCTTTCTCAACATTTTTTCTACTCAATAAAGATAGTCTTTTTGGCATATTATTACTTTCTTAAAATTTTTAAAAATGGTCCAGTTTTCTTTGGAATCCTTGGGGTGTTTGGAGCTGTATATCTTGAATATAGAGTAATCATATTCAAAATATGAATATGTCATCAATATATTCAACTATAGTTGGGCATACATATCCCTGGAGATATTTGTCATATTTGCTGAAGAAATTTCCAGAAAATAAAATCATAAGATACATGCTAGACTGTCAGGATACCTTCCTTCGAGGGGTTGCTCCCTCTGGAATTGCACCTATGGGACACTCAAAATACAATCAGGAGCATCACTGCTGGCATTAGGTTGGCTATTAGACATATGGTCAGAGGTTCTACACTACGATCAGTGGAGTGATCCCTTTTAAATGACCAGGAGTAATGTATTGTTTGATAGAATAACTATATAATATATCAGAAATCGGCGCTTGTAGACCACGCCGCACGCTCCCGATCGAGTGCCAACAGACGAATAGCTTGACCACTACCCGAGGGTACAAAGCAAACATAGGAGGAGATAAAAGCGTGCCCTACAGGCACGTGGATGCCGCTACTTATAGCGCTTCTCCGGCACTGCCCTAACCCGGGCTCCGGCCGGCCGCAATCACATGCGGGACCACGCATCACTGTGCGTCCGTCCTTCCCGATACCGCTAATATGATAGATGATAATTAAGTAACCAGCCTGGTAGTGCTGTCCACAATTCAAAATATATATCAAAATAAATATGATTATAATATGTCTTCTGTATATTCACTGGAAAAAGCTTGAATATGAATAAATATAAATATAAATATAAATATATTATGCCATGGTCATATTCATTATTTATCCATTAATGCTTTGAGACTCTATGACAATGGCCTTTTTGTTGAGGTGGAAAATGACAAACACAAGCTATTGCCAAGACAATGATGTCAGCGCCAAACACGCTGTTACCAACATGCGACGCGTCAGGAATCTTCTACCTTTTTCTCCTTGTTTCTGTTGAGGCCCAATCAAGTGTGGACAAATGTTCGTACAAGGAAATGGTTGGAGCCCTAGTGTCCGGTATAGTGTACTGAATTCCATGCATGATAAAGGATCACAAAATTAAATCACAAGTAAATGACATACCAATCAATATAGCAGCTATGGATATCATGATCATATGGTTTAACACTCCAACCAAATACAATAAAATACTCAATATATTGGGTTATAACCCAATATATATACAGGGTCGTAAAATTTTTATAGTACAGAGTATATACTGTATACTATTGAGTTTCTCAGAGGCATATAGAGGCAGTATCCGTGGCTCATCTAAAGTGTTATGATGTTACATTCTCTCAGAGAGTCTGTATTACTATACTTTCTGGGACTATATCTGATATCTAACTAAAAGTTCAGATGCTGCTTTAAGCACAGCTTCAAACTGACTTACAAATGGACCGATATAGCCAATCTGATTGTTATATTGAATCTTCAGTTACATTACTGTTGATAGAAATTTATAGTACAGCCAGTCAAAGTAGAATATCTCATATATCAATCATAAGTCTAGGTTAAACTTCCAAATGTCCATATAAGGAAATTTGATCACAATCAAAATACTGTAAGTATTATAGTTAACTATGAGCAAGACATTCATAGTTTCCTCTTGATCTGATATCTGTGTATTTACTGTTTTACTATTATTATGATTTATATTTGACTATTCAAAGCCTTGGGTAACCTCAATATCATCGTTTTGCAGCTCTCAGACTCTCAGAACCTATAACTAAGATGTTAACATTGTCCTCAGCATATGGCAGAACTATACTAGATAGTTAATAATGATCAGCATTATAATATATGAAATAATACTCTAAAACAAAGTATGATACTTCAGGGAAAAAGTTTTCCCACAGGGGCTAGGTGGGAGGATTTGTATTCAATATAAGATCTGCGTAGCAAAATGTAGTGATATATAGCATTTGTAGCTAACAGAGACAAAAACTGGGAATTTAACTTTGGATGACAAAGCCTTTATTTTCATAAGAAGTATGTAGTAGACATGTTACTGGTACCAATACTTCCATAGAATAGCCAATTGTAAAATTAGTAACTTTTGTACTATCTGTCGCAGATAGGATATCTTTGCAGCCTTTATAGTCCACCTCCAAGCTTTGTAGTCAAATACTGTACAATGTATAAATGTAAGGAAAAGATGTTAGAAGATGCAATTCTCTGAATAATGAAGCTTTGTACCTCAATTAACTTTCTGCATAATATGCAGGACTTTGTGACAACATATTTAATTTTTTATCACGAGTCTACTCTTTAACATGTGCATAATTAACGCAGACTTTGGATTCAACTTCTCAGCCTAGATAATGTCTGCACGTCGATTCCAGAAGTGCATGTATTCCTTCCCGACAGATATGGCAGAGTCCCCAACAGCCGCCATGCGCTTTTCCATGCCCGGTACCTCGCAACTACGCATGATGAAGAAATCAATACCGCGGATCCAGAGGAGATGCAGCTGCGGGTACCGGGCGATAAAGGCTTCAAGCAAGGCATGCGCGGCGCTGGCCGTGGCCTCAACATGCATAACAATTTCGTCGCCCCACGCGACCGACCATCGCGACGTGCTGATAAGCAGCGAGGAAAGGTTCGGCGGGAGGCGGATGATGTTGTCAGACAATTTTTCCCAGATCGCCATATGCTAGCAACGTGGTCAGGCTTAAACTGATGAGCACATCTAATTGAAAAGCTACCAGTGAAGCGTTCAGGCCATGCATGTACAGCACCTCCAGACTCGGGAAGAGCTGCAATGTTGCAGCGAAACTATGTTGCTCCAGGTCGAATACGGTCAGCGCTAGATGGGTGAGGCTGGCACAGCGATGCAGCTCCCGCCAGAGGAAAGTCAGGTCACAGAAGGCAAACGGCGACAGGCCAAGGTGAGTTATCCGCCACGGGGGTGCCGAGAAGCTGTGCAAGATGTGCTGGAATCCGCGCAACCGGACCAGCTGGCTCGCATGAGGACGGATTACAGTTTAAAGAGCGGCGCATAACGACTCGTGAGGGGCGCCCACCCATGAACCACTGGGCCGAGGCGCAGGAGACGAAGGAAATAGGCCCAGATCGGGAAGGCTTTTGCAAATACGGCAGAGAACGTAGATGTTGGCGGCGCCGTGCTGTGAAAAAGTGTGACCTTCTGCGTATGCAGGAAGACAGGAACTATGCTTGGGTCTTGCTGCCAAAATACCAGGCTGGTGTTTAATGAGAGGGCGCACAGGTGATTGGGGTTAATAAACGAGCTCCAGAACTGCTCTTTCACCGGGTCTGGAGGCTCGAACCATGAGAGAGCGAGATGAGACAGTGGCGCTTGTGTAGGGGGGCAGCAAAATATTGGTAACTCCGCTCTGGATTTCGCTGCTTTGGATGTTCAGCTGCTCCAGGAGCGGCAGAGCGTGTATCGCCGCAATCGCCGCTGCTGAAAGCTGTTCGTCATCGATCTTGAGATGGCGTATGCGCGAAAAGCGCGAAATATTTGGGATTAGACGACCGGAAAGCACGTGGAGCTCTGCCGATGTGGGCAGAATGAAGTCCGGGCCAACTGGGAGCCGCACCGCTAGGTCTTTCGCGGTAAGGTTTCTCCTGCCGATGTGACACGATTTGACCAACGGCGCAATCGTATCCGACAGCCAAAAGTCGACCCGGGACTGCCCAATGTGGAATGCAGGACGCGATGGTATATCCGGTCGTATGGAAAACGTGCGGGAAAATGCGAGGTGGGCAAAGAGCAGAGGGCGGGTAAGCTGGTTGAGCCGCCAGTCCAGGCGGAGAAGCTTTTGGAGGTGTTCAGGCGGGAGATGAGAGGCGATTTCGAGCCATAGCTCGTCCGGCACGTTCTTGGTGAAAAATGTGGTGGTCGACATGATGGTTGTTAAGTGGAAGAGTCACGGACTGTGACTACAAGATTGATCCGAAATGACGTGGTCCCACGTCACGTCATTTTTTTTTTGCCTTCAGCCGTCATGCCCACTCTCGCACAAGCTCTCAAACTCAACGCTGCATTTGCATCCAAGCACGCTCGCCTCAAACCCACCGCGCTCTTTGTCGGGGGCACCTCTGGCATCGGACAAGCGCTGGCCCAGCGGCTCGCCCACCACACTCAGGGAAACACCCATATCCTCCTCGCAGGGCGCAACGCTGACGCTGCGCGAGTCAGCATCGATTCGTTCCCCAAAGTCGCCAACCACCATCACGAGTTCCTCCCCTGCGACGTGTCGCTCATGGGCAACGTTCGCTATGCGTGCTCCACACTGCTTGCGCGGCAGCACACGGACCTTCCCCGCCTCAACTTCCTCGTGCTCTCCCCGGGATTCTTCACTGTGTTCAGCAACCGTGACCCCACGGACGAGGGCATCGACAAGAAACTCGCTGTGCTCTACTATGCACGCTGGCTGTTCATCCATTCGCTCCTCCCTCTCCTGCAGAATGCGGCTGCGGCGGGCGAGCCAGCGCATGTCTACTCGGTGCTTGGGGCGGGAACGGGCAGCAGCATTGACTGGGACGATCTCGGGCTGAAGAAGCGCTATGGGGCGGTGAAAGCTGCAATGGTGGCGGCGACGTATACAGATTTGGCGATGCAGGTGAGCTGTCATGGTACTTTTGCGAGCTCGCATACTTATTTCGTCTGTGACAGAGGTTTGCTGCACATAATCGTACCGTTCAGTTCACGCATGCCTTCCCCGGCCTTGTCCGCACCCCGATGATGCTCCCGAAGACGTGGCCACTTAAGCAGTTCGGGCCGCTCATTTCCATGGCGTCGAGACCGTTCACGGTGGCTCCAGAGGTGAAATATTACACTTCAGGGACTGCTTATCATGGGGGCTTATCTCATAACAACAGACATGCGCTGAATACCACCTTTCTGCGCTCTTCTCTCCAACGGACACGACCGCCAATTTCGTTCGACGCGGCGCAAAAGGAGACGATATCGGGTACGGGCCTGCGGATGAAGACCACGTGGAGACTTTGTGGGAGCACACTGTCCGTGAAATTGGGGCCGTGGAGTCTCCGTAAACCACGGGTCCGAGTTCTCCTTCTTCAGTACGTGTTGTCTACTCTTGTACAAGTAATGCATGGTTAATACTTATTCATTCCTCACCGCATGGTCCTGTCAACGAAAACGATCATGGGACGTTTACCGCCGCCTTTGCTCCACTGTCCTGCTTCCTGGCAGCCTGCTTACGTCCCGGCGGCCTGCGATGACGCGTCGCCCCACCTTGTGCCCCTCCTTCATCTTCCCCTCGTACACTACTAGTACCGCGTACAATGCCGACAGCCCTGCACCAGCGCCCGCTCAAGTTCAACCTTACCATCGACGACTTCGACTCGCTCGTCACGTATCCCAACCAGTCGCACTGGGCGACGCCGGATCCATCTGCGGGCCCGAACGCCACGCTGGCCGGGTGGTTTGACGAGACGTACCACCGCACGAACATTACTGGGGCAGTGTTCGAGTTCAAATTCAAAGGTGTGTGCTGAAAACGCTGGCGGAGCCCATGGACAAACTTGCCAGGGTCCGAGTTCTTCATCTTTGGGGCGGCGGGCCCGAAATATGGCGCATATGAGGTGGATATCGATGCATCCAAACATGTCCGGAGCGCCCACGCATGGCGAAACATCGAACAATATCTGCTGTTCCACCAACGGGGGCTTGAGTATAAGGAGCATCTGGTCAAGGTCACGAATCTGGGACGAAGGCGCAAATGGGATGGGACAGATCTGTTGCTCGATTTTGTGAAGACAACGGTGGATGTTGCACCACAGGGGTACGCGCAATTCCAAGACGATCCTCTCATCCCAAATGACCTTGTCTTTACAGTGCGCTCCTGACAAACACGACGCTGGAAGAAACGGACTCGCGCCTGGTTTACACCGGAGATTGGACCGAGAACGTGTACAACCCGCTGTTCTCGGGCGGATACTCCCGCTATACGAACGGCGATGGCGCCTCCGTGTCCCTGACGTTCAACGGTGAGTCGTTTGCAGGTGGCGGTGGACTCAAGCTTACGCATTACAGCGACGGCGATCTTCATCTTCGGCGACAAGACGGACCGGCATGGGCTCTATAGCGTCTCCCTCGACGGCGGCCCGCCCACGCTGTACAACGGGGTGTCAGGTTGCGGCGGAGCATTTGCGCATGCCTGCGAAAAAGACAACACACTGGCGTATTTCGCAGCAAATCTGGACAACCGCGAGCACACCGTTACAGTAACCAACATCCCGGGCGAGCTTGGCGCGTATTTCGGTGTGTGATAAGATCGGTATAGCGGCCGGTAGTGCTCATGGCGCGTCAGACTTGGATGCAATCGTCCTGACGTCCGAGTCCGCGGTCGTTAACGACTCGGCGCCCGTGCACGTGCGTTCCGTGGAGATCCGGGAATCGAGCGGCACGCAGGTCCAACTGGCTGCCAACGTCCTCTGCATGTTTGTGCTCTGGCTCGCCCTGTTCGTCTTGCGCCCATCGGTCCGCGCGTAGACACCGATGGCTGAAATCATGTACATTGCTCCTCGGCAGTAAGACAAACAGGCAACCGTTTCTTAACAGTCTGTATTAATCGGTGCTTACTATGGCCTTTAAATGAACTCTTCGCGCCGATTCCAAAACTCGATATGCTTTTCGCTCATCGCATTCAGATCGTCTCCCACGGCTGCAACGCGCTCGTCCACCCCTTCTGCCGTGCAGTTGCGCATGAGGAAGAAGTCCCTGCCCTGGATCCAGAGAAGCGTGAGCTGCGCATAGTGGTCAACGAACGCGTCCAGCAGGGCACGCGCATCGGCATCGGCGGGCGGGGCGCGAGCCTGTGTCGCGCCATGGCGAGCTGGCTGTGGCCACTTGGGTGTATGAAATAACAGTTCGCGGAGGGTGGATGGCATATCGATGCCGGACGAAATTTCGTCCCAGAAGGGCACTTTCTGGAGTTGACGTCAGGCCTTTGCGAAGGTACGGTGCGGGAGATTCAAGTTGCTTACCATGGTGAAATCCAGTCCATACACGTACAGAGCCTCAAGCCGTGGGTATTGACTCAGGGTGGAAGCCAAATCCAACCCGTCAGCATGATAGAGCGTCAGCGACAGATGAGTGAGGGTGGCACATGGGGGGAGCAGGGCAAGCAGGAAGCGGAGGTCGCTGAAGTTGTTGGTGTCCAGACCACAGTGAGTTATGCACCAAGGACCTGCAGCGAAGATGCGGAGGACGCCCCGGAAGCCACGCAGCCGGACCAGTCGCCCAGCGAGCGGAGACATTGCGGTCCGGAGCGCATCAGCTAAGGATACATCATGAGGGCTGGCTGATTCGGGCGGCTCTTCGGGGCGCGGCGCCAGGCGGAGTGCAGCAAATAAGCCGAAATCTTGAACGGCCGGGAACGCCTTCGCAAGCACGTCGGCAAAGGATGCCGGCGGTTCCCCCTCCTCATACAGCAGTGTGAGCTTCGTGGTATATGCGAAAACGGGTACGTCTTGCGCCTCTCGCCGCCAAAATGCAAGGATTGTGTTCAAAGACAAAGTGTGCAGGCATCTGGGATCGAAGAACGCGCTCCAGAACCGCTCCTTCTCTGGGTTGGGAGAGAGGAAGGAGGGTAATTTGATGTAGGACAGGGGAGCAGAGGTTGGAGGGAGGGAGCCTGCAGCCGTTTATATCAAGCCGCTCCAAGCGCGGCAGGCCGTGGATCGCCGCGATCGCGGCTGTATACAGAGTTTCGTCAGCGATTCGGAGGTCCTGCAAGCCAGTGAAGCATCCAATGTGTCCAACCACACGTGCTGAAACGACCCGAAGCTCTTGTGCGGTGGGCAGGACGAACCCCGGACCAACGGGCATTTGGGTGGCGACCTCCTCCGCAGTGAGCACCCGCCTGACGACGCCGCAAGAGCGAACCAGCGGCGCGATCGAATCGGAGAGCCAGAATTCCACCCGTTCTTGTCCATCAGAGAACGCCGGACGCGCCGGCACACGCAAAGGAGCCGTGGGCGACGAGCAATACGTGCGAGAAAACGTCAGGTCGGCGAAGAGAAAGGGCCGGGTAAGTTGACTGAGGCGCCGGTCTGTCTGGAAGAGGGCGGACAGGTGCTCTGGGGCGAGATGGGAGGCAACTTCGAGCCACAGCTCGTCGGGCACGTCGTCGGTGAAAAACGTCGCGGTCGACATGATGGCCGTCGAGTGTGGGAGAGTCACTGGCGTGACTATCACTTGATGGATACCTTGGCGACTTCACACTGACTCAGCACGTCAAAAATTTTTCTTCTTCCCCACGACATCGACGATGAGCGTCGACCCGATGCTGGGCCAAGCAGTCCTGGACGCATCTTCAACAGCTTCGCCAGTCCTTTGCGGCCCTGCGGGGGCCGCAGCTTATGCACAATCGTCACCTTCTTCTGGCTATCACCTAGGTGACGTCTGCCGATCGATGGATCTGTGACGCTGCACTCTTTTGCGGTCGTTTGACTGCTCCCCGTCGACCAAGCTTCTGCCGTAACATCGTGATCATCTCGCTGAGTCAGTGCCCCCGCCGCTTTCGAGTTACTCTCCGGCAGTTGACTCCTATTCTGTCAGTCGAGTTCCTCGGAATTCTAGCTGGCATTTCCCGCGGTCTGGCCAGGGGACGATATAGAGATCCGCCCTGCCATCTCGGCTGAATTCGCACCGATGAGAACTGCTCATTGAAATAGTCGGAGGGCCGGTGCGCATGTATGTCGGCCGGCCACTGGCGGGGGGCCTGCGCACCGCACCGCACCGCACGGCGCGGGTCTGCGCGAGACGCGGGTTCGACCCCGCGCGGCGCGATGTGATCTACGAATACAAGGCTTTTTTGGGCAGGCGTGGGCATGCGGGTGCTCGGGCCGCGCGTGCGTGTCAGGGTGCGGTGCATTGTGCAGGTCGCACGCGCGGGAGGTCGGGCGCGTGGGAGGCCGGCGGGGGATTGTGCGCCGGCGGCAGAGCGGCCCCGGACACAGTACTTCTCGCGACCACGATCGAAGCCGCAGGCCGCGGCGCCAGTTCGACCCCCGGCGCGCACGGCGTACGATAAAGACACATAAGTATTTTTGGCGCGGCTGGGGTCCATTTGGCTGAGGCCTGTGCCACTACCGCGGCGTGCAACGGACCTGCGCGCCGCACCGCAGGACGCTGGTCTGCGCGAGACGCGGGTTCGACCCCGCGCGGCGCAGGACGACGATCGTTTTTGGCGGAGGCGAGAAGGCTTGGCGTCGGCAGAGATGTCAGGCGTGGGAGTGTTTCGGGTCCTCGGGTGGTGGAGCGTGTCACGGTGCGGTGCGGTGCGGTGCGGATCCTGGGCGTTCGCACGCAGGGCGCCACACGGGTGTGCGGCGTTTAACGGGGCCCCGCCGCTGGCTCCCTGCGCCGAGTGCTCACGCTCGCCCGGGGCGGTGGACCGCAGGCGCACAGGGCACAGGGCGATGGAGATGACCGCGTGCCGTGGCGACAGGGATCAGATCATGCATCACGTCAGGCGGTGACGGTCGCGACGTGCGTGGCGTTTTTTCATTTGGCCCCTGGGAACCCTTCTTTCGTTTCCCCCTTCTTTCCTCCCTCCTCTCACATCGCCCCCTCCCCCGTCCGTCCCCCTCGTCCGCTTCCCGTCCCCCGCGACCAGCCCCGACGGCTGCGGCCCACGCTCGTTTGCACACTCGTTACCCCACCCACGAAAGGAAGAAAGGAGAGAAGAGAAGAGAAGAAGAAGAGATGGATATGGCGGGGCAGATAGAGCAGCACAAGCGCTTGCGCGCCCGGATACCCGCTGCAGCGGAGAAGGAGAAGGACGAGGACACGAAGAGTGCGTTACCATACCCGCCCAGACAGCGCCGTGGCGGCTGACGCTGACGACGACGACAGAGCCAGTGACGCCCGTGAAGACGACGCCGAAGGCGCCCGTGAAGCCGACGACGACGCCGAAGACGCCCGTGCTCCCCACCAAGCCCGTCGTCCCGCCCGTCGTGCCGCCTGTCATCCCGCCCATCGCGCCGCCCGCCAGCTCGTTGCCCTCCGTGCGTGCCGGTCTTCCCTTTCCTGCGTACAGAAGCTGAGCAAGGCACAGATACTGCCCACCAGCAGCACGCCCCCGACCGCGTCCCCGACCCTGTCCCCGTCGCCCTCCCCAACCCCGTCCCCGTCGGCATCGCCCTCCAGCACTGCCCCGCGCCCGCCGAGCACGCCCAAGGCCGCCGCCTCGCACCCCGCGTCCGCCTCCCCGTCGCCGTCGGGCACCCCCGCGCCGTCCGGCGCCGCGAGCGTGTCCACCATCGCGGCCGCGATCGTGGCCTCCATCGTCGGGCTCGCGCTCGCGGGCTTGTTGGTGGCGTTCGTGCTCCGCCGCTTCAACCGCCGCCGCGGGAGCCGCGTGCGCGAGTCCATGGCGGCCCACTTCGACGCGCACCGCCGCTCCGCCGTCGTCCACGAGCGCGCGCTCCCGCCGGAGTTTGGGAGTGCGGGCAGTGTGCGGAGCGTGCCCAGCGTCGGCGGCCCGCCGGCGAACTACGGCGCCGCGTCTGCAGCGGTGCCCCGATATGCGTCCCCGGCCCCGTACGCGTACGCCGCGGCGCCGCCTGTGACGGCGCCCGTGGCCGTCGCGCCGTATACCCTCGATACCCACGCCGGCTCGCACGGGAGCTACATCGGCGCGCCCCCGCCCCCGCCCCAAGAGTACTATGGCTATGGCGGGGCCGGGGTGCCGTCGCCGGGGCAGACGCCGACGTATGCGCCCCAGATGCAGCATCCCGTGCAGTATGTCCCGGTGACGCGCGCGTATACCCCCCAGGCGCAGGCGCAGCAGCAACAATACCCGCCCGCGCAGCAGAGTCCTCACCGCCAGTATGCCGGGTATGGGGCCGAGAACGATGATGCGTATGGCGGGATGTAGGCTGCGCTGGATTTAATTGGTTTTGCTTTCCTTTATTATGTTTGATGGTGATGAGGTGTTGCGTGTGTAGATTTTTAGTTGACTGTTATACTTAGTTCTCATGTTTGGTGTCGTGAGCGTTTGTCGATGCGTCGTGTTCCGCTCAGTGCGGGGCAAAGGAAAAGGAAGTCGCTCCGCGCCGGCACCGGACTGGTCTGTGGGATACTTTGTTTGTGACGTTTTTCTCTCGTTGCCTGTCCTCGCCGCGCCAGCCGCGCTAACCCGTGTGGTATGGTGTGCTGTGTGGGAGCGAAGCATTTTTCATTCGTATGTGTGCTGTTTGGGAGCCCATGTCGCCCCGCGCGGTCGTCGGTCGACCCGCGCCCGCGTCGTATTGGTGCTGGCATTTTGATATTTTTGCGAGACGGCGGCCCGGGCCCGGGGATCCGCCGTGGCCGCATGTACTTGGCAAACGTCACGGTCTGCTAGGTGTCCCAGCCTGCAGCTGAGATGGAACGCAGCACAGCTGGTTGTCGTGCGCCCTGCGCCCTGCGCACGCCCGGTCGGCCCGGGGCAGGGCCATATCCTGAGATGATGCACGTGGATGGTATTGTTTTTGTGGGTCAGGTTTTTTTGGTTTTTACATCAAGTGGAAATTTGACTTTTGGGCCTTGTGCCAGGGAAAGTCCAGGGAGGGTCCAGAAGGACCATACTGTAGCATTTTTTATCCAGTTCGTATACCCACATGTCACACCAGTGATAAAAATCGGATTTTTTTTTTTTTCATGTCACACCATTTTCCTCAAAATCCTCTCCCAAAAAAGCAATTGTTGACATTTCCGGTGGTGCATTTCCTCATTAGAAAATAATTTGAATTCATATCTTTAGTATGGAATATCACACTACTTTTGGCAGTTGAATTGAATAAAATACAACAGTAACCTGGGAACTCGGCTGACCTCCAGCCGACTAGGGTGCAGGATTTAACTCTGGATCGAATCCCCATTTCAAAACCGCTGTTTCAAAACACTGCTTTGGTTTCTAGAGGCAAACACACCTGTTTTGAAACAGCAAGGGTGTGTGGGAAAAGTCAGGGGGCAGATTTTCAAAAGGGGAAATACTGTAGCATCTTATTCAATTCGGCGCCGAAATGAAATTTTCGGCGTCCGGCAGCTCCAAGTGTGACTGCCGAAAATTTTGGGCAGGGCCGCGCCAGCCAAAAATGGTACATCAGCCGAGGAAATTCGGCGTCTAGGCTGTCGAGTGTGACCGCCGAAAAAAATTTCGGCATTTTAAGGCCGGTGTGACGCGTGACCGCCGAATTGAATAAAATGCTACAGTATATCATTCATAACAGGATAACATGAGTGAAAACTCATGGGTGAAAACTAACCAAACATGCAAATTTAAATGTTCAGAGGTACTCATGCATGCATGCAAGCACACCCACTGGCAAACAGTTAGCGATTGCAAGCGTTGAGGATGCCTGGTCGCACCGGGCCAGGGAGTATGGATTTGGAATGCAGAAGTTTTTCCTTTTGGTTTGTGTTCCATTGTCCATCCTTTTCTAAATCTGAGGACCAATCCAACTAGGGAACCAACCCTACCCCCCAGGCCCTCCACTGATAGTCAGTAATGAGTTCCAATAATAAGATCATATTTGATGTAAATGTTGTGTGGTCATTGATGTGACAGGCGGCTGTGCCATTCTACTCATGCCTCCATGCATTGTGGCTGTGATCCTGGGGCCAGGCGCACGGTCGACCCGCGCTATAATGGATTGCATAATCAGAAACATAATTGAGATATTTTTGCACTGTTTTGGGAGGCTTAAACCAACATCCCGTGCCGGTGCAAGGGGATTCCAGTAAAAATCAAATGTGCCCTCCTTGCCATCAACATAGTGGCAGGCAGGCATGACAATAGAACTCAGAGGAGGGTAGAATGGGTGTGCCTACTGTAGAGGCAGCAGAACAATAAGTATGCTCCTGGGTTGCCGGGTTGCCACTACATATATTGCAGAGAATATAGCTCAGTCGGGCATGATGTTGAGATGACTGATATATTGTCCCTATAGAGAATATAGCTACGGCAGTGTTGTAAGTAAGATAGAAGAGAAGGATATAAGGAGACATACCTCAGTCAGGCACAATAGTGAGATGACTGAGGCATGTTCCTGAGTAGTGCAAGTAGATATAGGTTGATTGTTATTTGCTTGAGCTCAAAGCGAGCTTGCAAGTGTGAGGGCTAGCCAACGAGTCCGGGACTGTGTGATCGATCGAGATGATTACATCATCATCTCGCCTTACCTTTCTGATGCTCACTTTCTTGGGAGAGTCGGCATCCAAATGGTTCACTCACAGAGTCTCAAAGCATCGCCGACGGCGAGCCTTCAGACCTCTCACCCAAAATCTTATGCACTGCTGCTGTCTTACCCCAGAGCGAACTTGGCTAGCAAGAGCAACTGAAAAGGGGGATTAACGGTGTCTGCACGCATCTTGATAGAGACACATCAGCTATATGGCTCGCTGTGCCATACTTTAACAGATATACTCGTCACTGAAGTATGTCCCAGATCCAAACATCCTGGCCTTCTGGTCCAGCCAGGACCAGCCTATCCTCACTGTTTTAGGGTTATAGTGCGAAGGGTCCCCGGTTGACCGGGGCAAGCATCTTGGGCGGAACCAAGGATTAATTTTTTCATGCATATGGACGGTAGTCCGTGCCTGCCTCTGAGTCCTTGCTGCTTCCCCCCCAATAGAATGATAAGTATGCCCATGGGTTGCTGGGTCCCCACCACAGATACACTCGTCAGTAAAGTATAGCCTAGATCCATACATCCTGCATCCACTTTTAGAGTTGTCCCAGCCTCTAGCCTTCTGGTGCAACCCATCTTCACTGTTCAGGGTCCTCGGTCGAACTGTGCAGGCATCTTGGGTGAAACAAAAGGATTAACCTTTTTCTTATGCATATGGACGGTAGTCCGTGCCAGCCTCTGAGTTCTTGCTGCTTTGCCATGCTCACAGCAGGGCATAGTGCTGTAGAATGTTTTTTCTCTTTCCTTGTGTGCCATGTGGAATATTAATCCTTTTTTTCATAAAGAAATGGCCTAGGGTGCCAGTGCAAGGCAGGATTTTTTCCACAGGGTCACGCGTCCCCCAAAAGGAAATTTATGCTCCTGTGATATTGATACTTGTCTCATGATGCCCGCTCTGTTGGACCGCCTGGTCAAAAATCTGGGTTTAGGAGAAAATAATTATTATGCATTTTATTACTCCGACGAAAGCCTAGCAGGGGAGGATCGAAAGCGTGAATAAAAGCTACGGAAATACACGGAGGGACCGACCTAGCAGGGGAGGATCCAAAGAGAAGAAACTCTAAGGGTCTGCCTGCTAGGGCGCCAACTATATACTGGTCGTCCGTAACTGCCGACGTAGAGCGCAGAAGGCCTGAGAGGCGTCGCAGGCTCTGTCCCAAGGTGATCGTTGGGAGGGTCTTGACGGATCGGTGATTGTGCGGGCGAAGGAGGCCGTGGACGATGGTCGGGGTGGGTCGGAGCGTCCGAGGGGGTGCCGGTCGGATGCGCCTCGGATGTGTTCGGAGGGTCCGAAGGAGGCCGGCGGGGGTTCCCTGACATCACCCCCCCTTTGAATGCGGCGTCCCGACACATAGTTCGAAAGGGCAAGGAGTCGAAGGTCGCTGAGGCGATGTGCCGTGGTTTACCCGGGTACCTCCGATAGAAGTCCGCAATCTTGTCTGGCGCAAAGACACGGTCGAACCGAACCCACAAGTCGTGTGAAGCGTCGTAGCCTTTCCACCTGACGAAATAGTTAAGACGCTTATACCTTATCCTGGCATCCAAGATTTCCTCGACTTCCCATTCGGGGACTCCGTCCTCTAGCTCGGGGGCGGTTCGTCGTAGGCCGGGTCGTCCATTGAAGGGGGTCGTCCTGAGCGGGCTCGAGCTTAACAACGGGGAAGACGGGGTGGAGCTTGGAGTAACGCGGGGGGAGGTCGAGCTTGTAGGCACCTTTGCTAACCTCTGCGAGCACCTTGAACGGTCCGAGGCGCTTGTGGGAGAACTTCTCGGAGGGCCGAGTCGTTCTAATGTCAGAGGCGTCCAACCAAACCTTATCACCAACTTGAATGTTCGGAGCGTCCGAACGTTTCCGATCGTAGTACCGTTTATACTCGTCTTTGGCTTTAACGAGCGCGGCCTTTGCCTCGGAGACGCCGTTAGCTATCCGATCGTGAAACTCGTTCACCGACTCCAACTCTGAGCGGGCGCCTGGCTCTAAACCCATTCGGGGGAGCCGACCAGTGTCCGTCATAAAGGGTACCTGTTGAGTGGAGGAGTGAACGTGGTTGTTATAGGCGAACTCAGCGGCAGGGATAAGCTCGTCCCAGTCGTCTTGTTGGTAGTTGGTGAAGATCCGGATGTACTGCTCGAGCTCTTGGTTAACGCGTTCGGTTTGTCCGTCGGTTTGCGGGTGGTAAGCTGTAGAGGTGGCCGGTTTGACGCCAATTAAGCGCCAGAGTTCGCGCGTGAAGTCAGCGATGAACTGCGAACCACGGTCCGAAATGTACTTCTCGGGGGTTCCGTGGTGCCTCCAGACATTCCGATAGTACAACCGGGCGGCTCCGACCGCGTCTATTGTCGTATGGCACTCGGTGAAGTGGGCGCGTTTGCCAAGAGCGTCGACGACTACCATGACCGCGTCGTACCCATGAGCTTCGGGGAGCTCGACAATGAAGTCCACCGTGACGGTGTGCCAGCGTTCGGGGGGGACTTTGGTCGGGTGTAGCTCTCCGTGCGGGAGCCTTCGGAGGGCCTTCGTGCGGCAGCACAAGTCGCAGGTCGCGACGTAGCGTCCGATATGGCGGGACATCTGTGGCCACCAGTAGTTGCGCGAAACCAGCTCTAGGGTTTTGAACCGACCGGCATGTCCGGCAACCCGCATGTCGTGGCAGAGCTCGATGATGCGCCTCCTTAGGTCCTTGTCTTTGGGGACTACGACCTT